CTTAAAGCCCTGAAGATTGAAGCCGCCTGCGCGAGCAAAGGCTGCAATGACAGAAGTGTAGCTGGCGGCGTCCGGCGCGCACTTGCTCCAAACCATCCTGCTAGTTTGCTTTTGCAAAATGTGGGGCGTGGGGTTCTGGGTGGAGAGTCAGAAGGAGTGAGCACGCAAGTTTGAAGTATTTCAAGTTCTTGAAGCAAAGTGGGCTTCAGGCTCTGTGCCTGCGGGAGTTTTGGCCCTGAAGACATAGAGTAATTAGCGGAAGCTTCGGTTCTTCGAAGATTTGGGAACCTTCGGCGGCCTGTGCAGACGATCCGAAACCTTCCGGCCCAAAAGGGGAGCCTGCGGAACCAAAGCTCGGCACGGAAGCCATCGCCGGATTTGGCTTCCCCAGCCAGGAGCTGCTGGAAGGCAGCGGTAGCGGGATGAAGCCTTCGGGAGGCTCCACTAAAACTGGGGTTTTGGGAAGTTGCTTGTGGGGCAGTTCGGTGAGTGTTCCGGACAGTGACAAGACGTGTCGGGTTTGGCCGATTGCGCGAATGGAACCATGCACGTATAATATACTTGGCCACAGGAAGAACGGATAGAGTCTCAAAAGGTGGCATGCCTGGGTTCGAAACCTGGCAAGTCACTCCAAGGGTCAAAGCACGAACTCCATGTGGCGTGATCAGATCAACACACAAAGACCGGAAAGAGCCGTAAACAAAGCTTCAATGCCCTCTGAGCCCTACCCGGCAAGGCGTAGCCCGAGCGCCCGTTCAGGTCCTGACCCCATTACACAATCTCGCCCGCACCTCTGGACCCGGTTCGTGGTCAGCAGCCGCTGGAGTTGTGCCTCTGGGGTACTTGGCTTCCGGTTTTGCCAGGGAGTTGCGAAAGTCTTCAGAGCCTTCCGTTTCAGCGTTGTGCATGCTGGCAGAACCATCCTTAATGCCTCGGGTGGCCACGGTACGGATGTCTCGGCTAGAGGTGTCCGCCGTGTACAAGGCGTTGCTAGTTTGTATTCTGTCGGTGAGCCTCAAGGAGGCAGAAGGTGTCTTTTTGGTAGGTGCTGCTGCGACGAATACAGACTAAACAAGAAGGCAAGAAGGTGAAAGGACAACATTGGTTCCTTTATGGGCTTTATTCAATCGGTGAGACAAAGTCCCCTCAATTTAAAAAAAAACAGGACATTGAGATTTGACTACCAAGGACCGTCCGATGCCCCTAGGCCTGGGAGGGCATGGCTTGTTCCGGCCGCACCCATGGCTTTGACCATGGCCCGCGATCGATCGAAAAGCACTCCAGCAGGCAAAGTTACAGGCTTTATGACCTAGAATGCAGTGAATGGTCCCCCTCTGCATGGCGGGGTGCCTCGCATAGACACAGAGGTTCTTTCCACGGAGGGCAAGCGCAGTTCGCTGCTGGCAGCATGCTCTAGCTTCTTATAGGAAATCTGTACGAAACATCGTACTGCTCCAGGCAGAGACCACTTGAAAAGGAGTCTGCATGCAATCGCCACGCACTTAAATTAAAACTCCAGGCATCATCATCATCATCATCATCATCATCGTCATGGTCATGCTCATCGTCATCATCGTCATGGTCTTCGCACAATCACTGCTCCTGCTTCCTACCCATGGCTAGTATGCTTCGTTTTCTGATTGCGATAACTGATAACCATGAACAAGACCGTGCAACATCAACATGTGCATTCGCTTTGGTTGGGGTACTCGAAGCGAGCATTAGTATAACGAACTGATATGATGACTCTGACTTACTATTGGATTCTTACCGCCGTGGGTGCTGCAAGTGCTGCGGGCGGCACTATGGTGGTGGTTTATCACTTCCTTACGACTAACAAACCCGATATTCGAGGGTTGCAACCGGGCGACGGCGACTTCTGTCTGACAGATGAGATCTCCGGAACGGAATGGCGGTAACATCACTCACCAACCCATCGACGGACAGTAAACATGACACTAAACTCTATAGGGATAACACGCCTGTCACTCCAAAAGGGCCTGACAGGACGGCAAGACCCTAAAAATTGGCGTAAAACTGTGAGATCCAAGCCTTTAAGGAGCTTCAGGGGTTATGAATGCGTGGGGGAGTCGGATCCGAGTTCCAGGCTTTGCTAACGAGTTTCACGTTAAGACGATAAGACATCAGTTTTGAAGGTCAAGGGTTCTTCGACTGTTCAGCCCCCGAAAAACCTCAGACACTTCAATCTCAAGAGCTAAGCTAGACCAACGCCTAAGCCTGCTCGAAATCGGATGGTAGGTTCAGCCATGCCAGGCACCAGGCTCAGCGTCAGCATCCCGCAAAAGCTCAAGATGTGCATCGCTGCACCCGACAGCCACCTTAAGCGAAGCGGCCTAGAGGGTCTTGCAAAGGCTACTGTAGGGCTTGCGGCTGCTATGCAAACGGGGCATGTGGTTAGGTGTCGGAAGCATCAGTCTTAGGTCCTGAAACTGACTTTGCGATGAACCCTGCTGCCGTCCTTCCGCTCTACTTTGGCCTGCTCTTACGAAGTGTCTTTCAAGCGGCGGGGCGCAAATCAAGTAAAACAACTGGTCAAGCAGTTCAACTGCAAACGCAATAATGCATTTATGTACATGTTTACAAACGATGCGGTAGGCATGTTGTTCTGCAAAACTACGTACAATATTCTATATGTGCTAGGCACTGCGCAAAGCAGAACAAAAATCATGCTTCTCTTCCCTAAAACCTGTCCGAGAGAGCCACCAGAACAAGGCGCTCAGGCAAAGAACCGTAACGCGCTCCTGCGAGGAAGAGGAGTGACATCGTAGAGTTTCTGGGGGCTTCGTGTACTTTGCCTTTCCCATGGCTCGATCTTGGGGGTACGCAGGTTGTGTGTTTCAGGCCACCAGCACAGCACATCATGAAGACGTCCGAAATATGTGAGCGAAGTGCCTCTTGCCGCAGCCTTCGGGACAACACAGAGTCATCCCCACATCCGCTGATGCTACTGATGCTCCTTTCCTTCAAGGGGGGGGAGCTTAGTCCAAGAAAGTGTGGCTCTAAGACAAGCCCGAAATCTGCGCCGCAAGAATATAAAATAAAATATAATATAATAAAATATAATATAATATAATGTAAAGGGCGCAATAAGTGCAATGCATCGCACGGCTCCTGAGCACCGTAAAGGGCTCCCTGAGGCAAAGGCAGGGTTTCGGGGTCATCGGGGCTGGATTTCTCCCTGGGACGGGCCCCTTAGAGTTGGCTTGGACTCCGCTAAACGATTTGGGGTACCTCTTCTTCGCAGGCATCTCTTTTTGTGAGGGTCAGGGCCAATCATCAACAGGAAGATCTGCATAGAAATACCCAATGTCCATCGTCATCCTCGACATCAACATCATACATACCATTGATCATCGTCACCTTAATGGTCGAAAGCACTCTCATCCTCCTCTTCCTCCTCACCCTGACCTATGGCAATAACATCAAAACCAACGGTAAAGTAACATCGGTGCATACTAGCCACATCTACATCACTGTCTCAGAATTTTGCGCTGAACCACAGCCAAAGGTGTTGGAGAAGCAAATGGTACCTGGACTAGAAGCATGCAAGCAATGCTTGCCGCTGGCGAACATGAATCCGGACGAAGTAGCAGAGTAGCACGATGCTCAACAAATGCTGTAGCCCTCGATGATGTGACCCAACACATCCACGAGTGCAACACGCCTCAATTCCTGGATCCTGCATCGCAGTTCAAGAGTTTTTGGAACGGAGCAAGTAGCTGGCTCTGTAGCCATGCTCTGCCGCTTCCTCCAGGGTTTTGAAACTCCTCAGGCTACAGCCGTCAGTGCTGTTGACGGACAAACTGTGGCATGCCCACGCGCGCCCTCTTGCTGCAGCGCTGCAGGAAACCGCAGTGCAAACATGCACCAGCTTCTGTAGCATGTCAGGAGCCAAAATCAGGAAGTGCCGCCCGGAGTTCGGTGAAGACATGAAGAGAACCTTAGCCTGCAAGTGACCAGAATGAGAGATCGTCACTTCCTGGGGGCTTCGACGTCCTGCGGATGCCTCAAAACTCATAAACTTCCAACTTGAAACTCACGGGCGGCTGCTCAGAGATGGTGGTCTAGAGACGACACGCTCAGCCAGGACATGCTGTCAAGCAGGCGTATGGGACTGTGGGATCGAACTTTGCGACACTTCCAACAACGAGGTTCTGTAAGCTATAGCACTAGAGAAGTCGCTTCGCGAACGGATCCTTGACCAGCAGCCAGCCAAGTCCCAAGCATCGTCGCAGATCGGTATGTACACATGCTGCATCATACTGGCTGAGCAAGATCAGAGAACACCTGTGTCGTGTCAAAACTCTCATTCATGCGTCAGACCAACGGATCTCTTTCGACTCTCGATATCAACGCCCCTAAAAAGGACCGAAACTCCAAAGCGTGAACATGCCCTAAAACGTATTTCTACGGCCTTTTTCTCAACTTATACTATTCGGTCGGGGCCTTTTCCATGCCAAACGTACTGGGAGCCTGTACCGGTTTAGCAACAGCTCCGGTTCCGAGTGAAGTTACAAGTAGGATCGTCCGTTAAGCCTGAAAGCTGGCCCCGCGCTTTGTGAGATTCTTTACAGCACATTCCTGCAGCTGAAGGTTCAGGGGCACAAACACAAGAACCAATTGAACGAGCTCCATTGACTGGTAGGTATTCGCTGCGTGTGTGTGTACATGGTTTCAATAGTGCAGCTGCAGTAAAATGCATAGCTTCACAGATATTGTGGAAAAAGAAGGACAGAGAGACATGTACCTATCTATCGATCTACCTATCTACATATCTATCTCTCTATCTATCTATCTATCTATCTATCTGCACACACATGGACATAGATAGATAGAAAGATAGACAGATCAGAGCGAGAGAGAGAGAGAGAGACAGAGACAGAGACAGAGACAGAGAGGGAGAGACACAGAGAGAGCCTTGGTTGAAGTCGATGGCCAGCGCTGCACAACTACACCTTCGTGGGCAGCCAAGCCACTCCTCATTCACTTCGTGGATCAAGTCGTGGGATTGGACGCCCTCCGCGTCGACCGTGGAAAGGCCACAGTTTCCTTTTGCCGCGGTGCGGGATAGTGAATCCCCAAATCTCCAAACCCAAGAGCCCTTCACATGAATCCGGAGATGCCTAGACCGCAATGACCACTACAGGGGTTCAAGGACCATGTTCGAAGGCTCTTGAAAGGCATCTCGGGCAGCCATCGGGTTCGACCCACGGGGGATGAGCAATGCAGGAAAGTAGCATCTTTTCGCAGGCTGTGTTAAAACACTAGTGCCTGAGGCTCAGGGTAGTGAGGGTCTTGTCTCAACCATACGATTGATGCATATCGACGCTCTTCGAATGTGGTGCTCCGAGCCACTTGCTTTACTAAACCCCAATGCGTTTCACACTTTCACACGCTGAACAATCATTTCACGGCTTGAGCCCCCGTAGCCGCACATGATCTCAATCCTATCCGGTGCATATGCATGTCTATCCGTTTTTGTGTGTGTATATGTATGTATGTATGTATGTATGTATGTATGTATGTATGTATAACGTATGGAACTGTGTGAATGTATGTTATATATACATACACATGTATGTATATATATATAATACATACATATATATATAGAGAGAGAGAGAGAGCTGTTGTTGAAATTGGTTGGTTATTGATAGTTAATAGTGCGCTTTGCGAAACCAGTAAAGTGCTCGTACCTGCCGGACGCCCACATTCAACGACTTGCATGCCGACAAGCCACGTAGTCTGGTCGCAGCCGAAGCGTGGCATCGGCAGCCTGCAAGCGTCGCCAGATAAGATCTGAGATCTTAGGGGCTTGGTTACCAAGACCACTATGTGAGCACGCTGCCATTTCTTGAGCACTTTAGCTGGTAGGGAAACAATGGGAGTCATATTGTCCGCGTTTACATGTGCCGCATTCCGGCTCGTCAACATTTTGTCCCTCGAAGCCGGCTGGCTGACTTCAAGTTTGCTGCCATTGGGGCAAGGACGTTGAGGGAGACGCTTCTGAAGCCTTCCTGTCTTCACATGTTTTTCGTGACCGCCGAGGGCTGAACCGGAGAGATGCTTGGCAAGATGGAAGTCAGAGCCACTTGACTCACGCTGTACGAAGAAGAGCAAGTCAAGTTGAAAGTCTGGAAATGTTCCGCAATTTCGATAAGCAATCTATCCCTGCGATCTATCGTGGTCCATCCTTTCATGCTCAAAGAAGCTGATAGCCGACAGGTCACGTCATCAAATCGTAGTCCACACACCGAAGGTCGTGCTCGGTGAGGGACGAAAGGCCTGGGCTTAGACTTGAGGACCTTGTGGGACACATTAATCGTACAGTATAATATATAGGTTAATATATAATATCATGCAATATAATATAATATGCTATATTATAGTATAATATAGCAACAAGGAGATCAAACACAATCATAATCGTAAGCAGGGGAACACAACCACGACAACGACAACGGCGACGACGACGACTACCGGGCTACTTGCCCAGTATAGCAACCCGTGTGCAATCAATAGGTTTAGAGCTTAGAGCTTTGAGCATTCACGATGCACTTCGCCAGCCCGCAAGCTACTTTATGCTTACATAGGGCCCCTATAAGTCTATATAGTGTCTGGAAAGACTTGAAACCTACGGGCGAAAGTAGACTGGCGAGGGTTCGGGTATGGTTTGGGATCGGGGAATCAGAGCTCCCAGCTCTCATCCCGCAGTGAGCCATTCGTTGCAGTTCCCACAGGCCAAAGACTCTCAATGAAGCTATAGAGCCTCAAGCCCCTTCTAAAACATAAAGACTTAAAGTAAGATGGCAACCCCCCCCCCCCCCCCCCCGCTTTCTCTCAGCTGCGCCCCAGTGGCCCAGATGGTTGGCGAGCTTCCGCAGCACACTGATGGCCCCGATCTTTGCGGGATCCTCCGGGTGGTCCTTGTCCTCGTCGCGGCTTCGAATGTGTTCGGGGGGGTTCCTGTCTGCTTCGGCCATAGCAGGCTTCAGGGCTTGTGCTGCGGCTGAAGTTGGCGATCTTGGGGCCTTGGGAAGGGGCACATCCTTCCGGGGCTGTCGCCTTGCGATCTTGGCACTTGAAGGAGTTGTCTATGGCTCACCGAAGCGGTTGGGATCGTCTCCAGGAGTGGAACTAGTTGCTTCGAGCTTGTGGGATTAGTCCCTACCGCATGAGGTTGCCTTGAGCGGGTCAACTGGGAAGACCGACACTTCCAGGCGTTGGTTGCATCCAGGGGACATAGGCCACCAGCTCTTCGAAATGAATAACCTCAAACGACATATTCATCAAGAAACATGTTTTTATAGCCGTCTGGGCATGCGCGTGCCGCTTCCCGAGCAAGAGAACCTTTCGTTCGACTCTACTTTTCAGCTCCTCCCTGCCTCCAGCTCAAGCCACGCAGGTCTGAAGAGCAACTTGCAAAAGGATCTTCTTCCCAACTTGCAAACCCTTAAGATGGGACATCCGAGGGACATGTGTGGCCACCTTCATCCAAGCCGGATCCTCTGCCAAAAGCAAGAGATGTCTGGGGAGCTACGCTTCCGGCTTCTACCGATTGGCGGTCAGAGGCCTGCTTTCAGTCGCTGCAGTCTTGGGCGAGACGTGATCCTTATATAGCTACGTTTGACAAGCCGGCAGCTAAGAAATAACATCTGTGAGCACAACCTCCAAAACATCCCAATGGCATCGAGCTAAATTCGATCCGCCCGAGAGTTGAATCGTATAGTCCGGGAAAACCCAAAAGGCGAACCCCGAAGGTTCAGATACAAAACCATTAATCGCCATCCCCGCTTATGGCTCACCATCATACTCCAAGACGAGCAAAACTCTTCTTATCAAGGCGGCGATAGGGTGTGTTCAGGTTTAAGGGCACCAGAAAGCCCAAACCATGAACTTTAAACCTTGCACCCAAACGGGCTGCCTCGGCGAAGCCTTGTCTCACGCTGACGATCACGTGCGTGAACAAGGGCGACACCTGCTCAGGAAGGCTGACAGATGTGACAGGCTGGAAGCCTGGTGGATCTGAATCTCACAACTTGCTGCCTTCTAAAGGAAAGTTATTATCAGATGAATCAGATCTTAAACAGATTGAACTCGACTTGGTCTGGGGGGTTGGGCTCCGGGACTCCGCGCCGATGGTCCCACCATGGCATTTAACGACAAACCTCACATTACAATGGACGTGCATCAGAGTATCCAACATCATCAACTCGATGTTTCTCGCCAATGGAAAGGAGCTACAATACCAAGAGCAAACACTGTGAGCAAATTGAACCAAAGGCAACTGTACCACTTTCCACCTAAGCTATAAGGAAGGAACCCCAGATTTTCAGTTTCAGCTGATTCTGTGCAACGCCAAATGGCACCTGAGGGCGTCGTCCCTGGACGGGTTGTATCGACAGCATGTGGCCCGAGAGCACGTGGCATACTGCGGAACAGTGCGCACCTCGTCAAACGATGCTTTCGACATCTCGCCCGTCCACTCGTGCGTCTTGATCACCTGTGAAACAGCTCTGGACCATTCTTCCCAGTATCTGCCAGAGGACAAAGGGTCAATGGAAGCTTCTCGGGAAACTGTTGTGATCCATATGCAGTAGACAATCCCGAAGCCCTCAACACTACTTTGTTCAGAGCTTCGTTGCTCCGTAAGCATGCGGCTAACTTCCTCAGAGCGGCCACATGGGCTCCGGTCTCCAGGCGATGCTGAATTTTGGAGCGGTCCAGGCATCGCATCCAGTACCTGGGATGGCTCTCTGTTTTTTTCGGCTCCCTGCCTTTGCTGCTTCTTAGCTCTGAGCCCTATAGACCCCTTAAGCTTGAATCCCAAAACCTTAGTCCTAAAGGCCCTAAACCTGTTTTGGGGGAGGGCTGGGTCGTTCTTAGGGCTTGCCAGCGTGTAATATTCGCACATTAGTCCTATGCAGGGATGATCTAGCCACGGCCTGGTTTTCCCATCCCAGACTTAAATTTTCTTTGGCCGATGAACTCCACGCGCCTCCAGGTTTCGGGTGAGTACCGTATATGCAGCATGCCGTTAAAAGATCAGTAGGAACAGTACTGCACAGCAGCCAGTGCCGTGAGCTAATCGTCGGACACCCACTGCATTTCACAGTGTTGCATTCCCTGTTCCGTTGCTGCACGATGCGTCATGGAATGCTGGTATGTACAGTGTCTCAAAGTGCACTGCACATGTATACGTGTGTTTATGGGTGTTAATTGTCAATGCAGCAAATCGTATATATCCTGTTTTCCAGAACCGTGTTTTCAAATCTCCAGCGGTCTGTGGACATCCATCAGGGATCGCTCCAACCCGACTGATCGGATGGAACCTGAGCCTAGAAGCGGTAATTAAGCCTGGCACTCTTAAGCCGTAAACCATGTTTTTCCCAAACCGTAAACTTAACCCTCAACGCTAAATACTTCCTAAACATATATAACCCTTAACCATACCCTCTTAGAAACCCAGAACCCAGCCTGAAACTCTAAACCCCTATAAACCCTGAACCGTTCAGCCGCAAGCTTGAACTTTCCCAGACCGAGCTGCGAGTCGCAGGCCTCTTTGGCCTGTCAGCCGTAAGTTGCTTTTTGGTAGGGGCTGAGGGGTTTGAGCTTATAGGATTAGGATGTAGAGTTTTGCGGCTTCTTGTTGCCTCCGGCTTTTCAGCCAAATTCGGAGGTTTTTGCGGTCGAGACTTTACTATGCCAGTCGTGAAGCCGTGAAGATCGCAACGGCGCCTCACGAATTTCGTACGGGACACTGCACGAGCAACGCACAACCAATCCCGAGAGCCAACTGCCTGTCGGAAAAGTAGACGCGTGGCGTTGAAGACCCACGTGGAGGCAGTGCGGCCCATGTCTCGACTTGCCTTATCAAGCAGGCTGTGGGATATGAAGCGTGTCACTTCATTAAATCATTATAGCGATTGGCAATATCCGCAGAGACCCTCCCACCCGTGCAGAGAACTCAGGCTCAACCCTCTTCGGAACAGAGCCACGGTGATCACCACATGGGGCCGGTCTGGATAGCGGAACCCAGAGCCTGGCAAGATGTTTCTCAGCACTGCAAACAACCGGGCATACTCCTCGAGAACCCTTCGCCCTCCCGCAAGGTGTGCAAAAGGCCTGGCAACCTCTGATGCTCGGTGAACTGGGCGTGTCGAAAGAACAGGGACGTCCACGTACCAATGCCGCTGCTTCTCGCCCTGTGCACCCCCCAATGAAACAAACAAGCTTCCCACCTTCCTAGACATGTGCCCGAGAATCCACCTAAGACACCGTCACCTCCATATTTCTGGACCCATAGCTCTTCCAGGGTTTCAGTTTAGGCTTCCGAGCCTTGGGTTGATACTTGGACGACCTGCAATAAGCAAAAATCATTCGCTACAGTCTTGGTCTGGAGAGGCTTACAATCTTGAGGCTTGATCCAAAGGCGGAGCAAAATGTCAGAGGATGTCAACAGTAGAGACCGGCCTTCCGCAAAGCGGCGCTGCTCGATGGGGTCCAGGTGCCTGACAAGGACTGTCACAGGTGTTCGGCAAGGGTGGCAGTTTCCAGGAGCTTTCTTCGGTTCTCAGAAGTGGAAGATGAGGCCGCGATGCTAGCCCGACTTGCTTTCAAGCCCTGCGACCATCTTCCCATGGGCTTAGTCGGAGACAGAGCATGAAGGGCTCTGTGGAGGAAAGAAAGCAGCCCTAATAGTTGGAATGGGGTTTTGACTTATAGAAAGGGGGACCCCTATATTGGCAAGATGGAGCTCGCATAGTTATTAGAGTCGTTTGGGCTGCGGATTCTGGCATCGATTCGATTCTCAAGGGGCCTTGGGGGGACAGGATAAGCTCGGTTCTCCAGTTCGGGCATGAGGCTTCTTCTTCCAGACTAGGGGTTGTGGTCTCTTACCATAATTCCGGATGTCGGATACTAGAATGTTCAGCTCCTGCATATGCGAGGCAAACACCCGGAGTCAGGCAAATGACGTTGACGGTCCTTGTGGAGCAGGCAATATCCCACCTGGAAGAGATTCCACCGAATCAATCGTGCTTCAGCCTTAAACCCGCACACCTCTAAACAATCAAGACCTTAAATTCTAGCAGTGCGCAAGCATTTTTTTGGCGTGTCTCTGCTTATCCCCACAGTCCGCTCATCACGGTCTGATGGTGGAATAGATGCTTCTCGATCTCACCCCAGAAGGTTGCAGTCACCACCGGGCAGTTCAAGTACGGGCGCACCGGCCGGAAGTTGAAGATCAATGAGAAGTATGCAGCCAGGTCGGTGGCCAGGAGACACATTCCTTGACTCGGGTTGGCGCGAGCGAGCATAGGGAGGGAATGCAAGGACTCTTTTTGCATGAGCTGCTCATAGCCGCTCAAGCCAATAACTCTGCTCCCTGCAACTATAGACTGTACTTCACTATACATTAGGAAACCTATGAGTTACCGGCAAGAGCCGAAACACTTATTATAACTTCTACGTAACATCTTATAGTCCTGAAGGGCCCCGCGGGAAGCCTCGGTGCTTTGCAATTAAAGGCTCTACATGGATCGGCGACGCCCAGCACCGGCTGACCAGCCGGCGTGCCGCTCACGACAAAGTGGTGGCGGTAGACAGGAATGAGCCGCGGCACACCTTTCCTCAAAGCTTGCAAGCATAAAGATGTATCGGCGTTTCTGCTTAGGCAACCCAACGTCAGCGGACACGGGCTTCAGATTTGGTCTATGTATGTCAATCTAGATCCGTAAACTTCCTGTCAGAAACCTGATCGGTCAGCTTCATGCCTAAACTTGGAGATTATCCTCCCTAAACCCTAAACCCTAAGGTTTGCATGGATCTGTTTGTGGCCAAGATGCAGATGCCTTGCTGTAAGCGAAGCACGCTCAGTTCTATCCTCCGGTCGGGGCCCCCACTCCTTGGAACAACAGCTACTACTATTATTACTATTACTATTACTATTACTATTACTATTACTATTACTATTACTATTACTATTACTATTACTATTACTATTATTGCTACGATTACTATTAATGCTTCGGATCCGGTCTCAAGGCTGACAGGAAGTGCCGGTTAGGGTTCAAAGTAAGAGCTGGAAATACAGTAAAAAGACCAACGAGCCAAGGAGCTGTGTACCAGAAGCTCTGTACACCTCCCAGTCTTGCATGGATGTCATCCCGCATCACGGCGTGATGGTCGTGCACACTGACTGCAACCGTTCGGCGCCAGTTCCTGGGTCAAACTGAAGGCTTTAAATAGCTTCAAAGGGGCTTAACAGCCTTCGAGTGCACTGATTGCACAATCTAGCTGAAGCATAAGCCGCAACTCCAGGGACCAACGCTGGCGATGAGAAGCTAGGCAGCTAGACCGCGAGGGCTGCTGAATGTCATGCAGCGAAAACCCTACATATACCCCGAAAAAGAACACACGATTCAGTACGATTTGACTTTGTTCTATCATGACTCGGAAACTCGGGCCCCTCTGGCATGGCAGTCTGCAGGAACAGCTTCAGGTCCGGCGGGAAGCGGATCTTGCAGTTCTCTTCGGCTTGACGGACCTCTTCGTCCGTCATCCCTTCAGAGAAGGCAACACCGGCTGCCCTCATGTTGTGAATCAACTCATCAATAACATCCTGAGACAAGAAAGGCTGCACCAGCACCGACACGTCTCCCAGGACAGGGTCGCAATCCTGCAGCTTCTTTCCATCCTGCAGCAGCGCCACCTCAAATCGATGGCGCCCTAGCCGCTGAGCGACTTGGCTCCTGACTTCCTCCGCACCGGATCCCGGTGACAACTCCACCTCGAGTAGCTCGCCACTCAGGAGGCAAGCACGTACTCTTCGACCCAATCTCGTTCCAGAGCCCGTGTTCTGCGAGGACGAAGCCATGGCTGGCACAAGGTGCTGCACGCCCTTGAAAGTCCACGCAACGGATGCAAGTCTTTACCAAACGGCTCTCGTGCCTAGAAAAAGGGACGTGCTCTGGTGTGCCTCATGATCCGAACAGGCACAAGGCCCAGCCTAAGGGAAGCTGCTGCCATAGCCCTCGGAAATCCTACACACCCTCACGGCTTGAAGTCCTAGGCTTTCGGGCAGACCAAGGCCATGTGAACGGGGCACAAGCCAGCCGCGATTCAAACAAGAACTGTATGGTGTACTGGATCTCCCAGGTTAGTCAGGGATAACTCGGCCTTGTTAGATCATCAAGAAGGCGTACTTGTTGGGCTTGGCTTGCCTTCTGTCTTCAAACCTCCAGTCTGCTTTGCTCTTGCTCCACCAGCCCAAGCCCTTCCCGACGATCACTTTAACCGCAGGCCTTCCCTCGCATTCGTCGTGGCAGCGCGAGCCTTTCCGACAATAGACTTCAGATTCAAGCCTGCCGTAGAGCCCGAATACTGAAAAGACAAGCTTCGTAGTTCCGAGCGCTACGAAGAAGGTCAGAACATGTAGCAGCGCAATTTCGAAGCACCCAAGTCTTGCCCCGATCGCTCACGCAGCTCAAGCACAGGTTGAGACGGCCTGTGGCTTTGCTGCCACGCCCCTGGCAATCAAAGGGACCATGGCCTTGGCAACGCAGGGGGGCATGTTCTCTCGATCCTGTGCTTGCTGCAGGCATAGTGCCCTATTCCAGACATAGGACATGAAGGTCGCGCAAGCCGACTAGTCCACATGTATGAAGTGATTGAATGACACCGTGTGATTGTTTCTTTCGGCTCCAAATTCCAGGAGGGGTCTGCCATGTTACTAATTCTGATCCATACAGGTATAGGTCTCTGCGGCCATCCAGATTCAGAAACCCTGCTGAGCACGGGGCTCCTGCCAGGCTGAAGCAAGCAAGTCCATGTTTAAGCTTCCAATCCTTCTTGCTCTTCAGTTCGGCTTTCATCTCGAGGGGCCGGGATTTCTCTAAAATTCTCTTCGTTTACTCCGAACGTCACGTAGATCCGAAGCACCGGCCGCTCGTCAGACCACCCGAGGCTGCAGATGCTCAAGGACAAGACAACACGACATGTGTTTGATACTTGTAGTTCATTCACGGGAACGACGAAACTTCGACTTCGGACAGACCTTGCGAAGTTTCACATGGGATTTGCAACTCCTGGTCCAGCAAGCCTGCTGCCATTTTCTCTCCAGATGCGCGCCGTTCTGCTGGGACACCAGTCGCACGGCGATGGCTCCTGGACTACAGCTATTTGCGGCCTTGTCGCACATGTTCTGTTTACAGAGCAAAACCGAATATTGACAGTCTGCTGCAAAGCCCCGTGATACGCAACTTGAAGCAGCAGGCCCCCTCGGGCATCTGCAGGAGCCTCTGAACCCCGAAACCGATTTAAGCGTGATGCAGTATTTTTTACACTATGTCACGCCATCCTCCCAAATCGATCGGTAAGCCAACCATACCCAAAAACTCTTGTTGTGAAGTTCGTCTAGACCACATCCGAAATCCTACATGTGCAGATGTCCCTTAGATTGCCCCCGTATGTTCGACCCGAGCACGCATCCGCGAAAGCCACCAGGGAAGGGAGCTGCGTGCGGACCTGGGGATGTAGTATGTGGAAGACTGTGGAAGATGGACGGGATTGGAAAGCTGGTTGGGAACATGGTACTGCTTGCTGCAAATTATGTGTTGTGAACCTGCACAGGATCGGCTGCAGTCAAAGATTTGTTTGTGAGCCTTTTTTACTTCAGGATTTGGAGTCGCTTTCGCATCGAATGGCTTCAATGATGACCGCTGCCACAACATTAGCATGGAACAATGCTGCATTTCCTGCATCCACCCAAACAATGCCGTGAATCCACAAGCAACCCATAGGTACCAATCAGCACCCACACTCCCCTATTTCCACTGCTACTACCACAGCGACTCTACGAACATAACAATGAAACGAGCTCGCATGTGAATGAGTATCTACACCTTCATATACACCTTAGGGGCCGAGTACCTGAGCCCAAAAAAGGTTAACCTTTGGAATTAAAATAGGTTTATATAAGCCCCAAGAGGTTAAACTCAGCCCCTAAGACACCCTCCAGCGCCCAGGCGCGGTGTCTTTGTGGTAATGGACCATTCCACTCGCCAGGGTGCCACCAGGACTTCGAAACTCCAGCCGGTCTCCTGGGCATTTTTTTGGAAAGACAGAGGCATGAGAATGTGCAGCACTTCAGGATGTTGAGCCTCATGCTGGCCTTCGATGTTGCCGTTGTGGTGAGCCGCTAATTGCAAAACATCAATATGATAGGATCCTGTTCAGAAATACGGTGGCTTTAGCCTTAAGCTACCAGTGGAGCCTGAATTGAGGTTATGTCAAGCTCAGGTTTCAGATGTGAGAGGCAAGGCGAAGTCACAGATCTTGGTTGGGTATTTTTGGCTACAATGCTCAGAAGAAATGCGCGTGTAGTAGTGGGGCGCGGTCTGAAGGAAGGAAGGATGCCAAGAATTGCCCTAAGATCCAGTAAGTTCCCAGAAAGCCCCTTGGTATAAAGTTCAGAATCCTTTTGCTGGACCCTTAGCAGCCTTAGCACACATTGATACTCGTGGGGGCGTTGCACAAGAGTATGGGGCCATGCGAATGCTAGCAAAATGCTTTGCATCGTGTTGGGCCCCTGAGTCCTGAAACTCTCGGACTTCAGGGCTCTGCTGCTGGAGTCGACGATTCAAGACAGGGCGGAAGTAAAAGGTGATTTGCAAACTCTGCAAAGCTGACGTATTCTGTCTGCTGATACCGGGGGCCTCGGGAACTGGAATCGAGGAGTGAAAGCCCGCTTCCGGCCTGAATGAACTCGTAGAAAGCCTGCAACGCATAGCCCTCGTAGCCGGCGTAGTTGAGAATGTCGTCGAAGATTAGCCTCGGATTGGGACGAGGACATGTCGTCTACAGGACCGCTCTGGTGCTCTGTGTCGATATGCTTCCATTCGAGGGATGGAGGTAGCATCCAAAGTAAAAGCCGTAACGACTGGACTACCCTAAAGGGCTGGCAGTATACTACTGCAAATCATTTTACACGCCTGTGGTGCGGATTGCCTTCAATGGTCAAAGAACTAAGCATTTTGGAAACTCTTGCTTGCAGAATGCGAAGATATTACGAGTGCCACTGCCACCGTTCGCAGTGTCAGCCTGAGGATGGTCCTCATCTTGGTCTGCCGTCGAGAATACCCATACTCAATACTCGAAAGCTGTCATGTAGGGGCCAAAATAATTAGAATAGGGTTTTGGGGGGTTCCTTATTGTATCTATAGTATAATGGGCCCCAAAACCCTATTCTAATTATTATAAGGCCCCTATAGTACCCAAGCTGCACAGAGCCGGGCATGAGGAAGGGCGACAGCAGCGAAAGGACCAGCCGGTGGCCAGCATAGGTGTCACAATCGAGGTGGAGCCACTGGACCTCATGCTTGTGGGGTTTAGGGTTTAGGCTTTAGGGTTTAGGGTCTAGGTTGTCTCTTTGGGGCGGCGGTTTCCGGCTGTGGTGCATTGCGTTTCGCTTATAAGGCAACTCGGGGGTACGATTCAAGTTTCGTGAGTCACTCCTCGGTGAGGCGGCGTTGCGCATCGGACAGACGCTTTGTGATGCTTTGTGGGTGGCTTAACTTGACCATCCTGTGATGATCGAAACTCTGTGAGGAGCCAGACTCTAATTGGGAGCATGAATTGTAAAGGCGTGGGACAAAAGGTTCTCATCCAAGCCCACGGAGCATGTTTCATGGACATGATCCTTCAAGAGCTTGTGAGCTAGACATTAGAAGCGCCAGCCGAGCTTCCTTCCCGCCGCCGAGGAGGTGGCTCCGGATGAAAGCGGGCAATGTCTTGTTGTACCACCCGACTACCAGCTTGGCATTCGGAGGGAGGTATTTTGGAATTCTCCCAGCCGTGCTGAACTCGAAGCGGTCGAACCTGAACAGAATGTCATGACCAAACGAGCGGAGCGGCCTTCGTCGTGGCAGTCCAGTGCTACATAAACATGAGGAGGGCAAGCATATAATTATTAAACTCCCCCCTAATATAAAAACTGCCGCCCCCTGGAATTTTGCGGTTTCGGGCCCACA